AACACACACACACACACACACACACACACACACACACACACACACACACACAATCACTCGTCTATTAAGATTTCCTAAATAAAACGTACTCACACACATACACATAATATGTAGATAAAAACACACGCATAAACTCACTTAGAGTTAGAAATCACTAAAACTTTTTCAACACACAAAAAAGCGCACTTTCTTGTAAAAATACTCACACCTGCATGTAAAATACACACTTTGATAATGAAGTCTTAAAAATAGGGACATAAAGATAAAATGAGAGACAAAAAATAAAATAAAATGCGGTTATACAATATAAAATACAAAGAAAAGCCAAAAATCTAGTCCTTTCGCCTCCCCCACCCTCCTTTCTAGTCTCCCCTAACATTGTACATGTAATCTGAAAATGTCCACAATTATACAACAACTTCATGTATCATTCGTCAAACGTTAAAACGGGGAAAAACAATGGACATTCGTATAGAAATATCTCAATATTGGCAAAACATTTTGAACACAATAATATTATAAATTATATAGGCATTGGTTAATGAGAAATATATCTGGGCAATAAAGTTAAAACATGACTCCGGCGAATGAGAGTTTAAAAAAAAAAAAAGAGGTGAAAGTTGACAATGAAATAGCCCAGGATATTGACACTGTAATAAAAAGGTATGTATAATGATCATATGTACAATAGAGTCTATCTTATAATATATCCGAACTATTTTACAATACAGACTAGGAAAACTGTGTGATTTACAATCAAACTCAGCGGAAGGAAATTCTTTAAAAACTATTATCATTATAATAATAAATAGCATTTGTATAGCGCATATCCCCGCTTAACAACAGGTTCTATGCGCTTTACGCTATATTATTACCCCAGCAGACCATAGAACACTCCGAAACATTCTCAGCTTCCCGGGAAGCGTACAGTGCAAGCAGCTGATTAAGCGCTCAAGCACTAACAAACTGACAAGATCTTTCGCTGTCTATAGCCGGGTACCCATTTCCACCTGGGTGAAGTGAGGAAAATTCGTGTAAAGTGCCTTTCCCAAGGACACAACGTCGGGTCCCTGACGGGATTCGAATCCACGACCTAACGGTTGCGA